TCCATCTTTGCCGAAAGATGGTGGTGACTCTTTGTTGACTGAACTTGCTGCTCTATGCAACACAATTTGAAACACTGAAGAGGCACCTTCAGACTAGCGACTGTCAGCTGTTGTGCTGATCTTCAAGAAGGTTCAGCGCACTTTGTACTCTCAAGCTGGGCTCACAGCATGCGTCAAAAGGATTCTTTATGGCGCCCTTGAGACGATCCCAGGCAGCATTAGGCTCACCAATCCCATTCATCATTGCCAATTAGCGGGCCAGTACATCAAGACATTGTTGACATGCAGACTGCAAGTTCAAGTTATAAGTGAGAGACTTATAAGTTAGGCGCTTCTTTGAAGCGTGAAGACAGAGTGCTTTGCGAGCGCGCATTAGAGCATGGTCGGGATTCATGCACGTGCTCCAAATTCACCGACAGTCTTGGACTGATGTTTATCACTGTAGCTCATGGTAGTATGGTCAAATTGGGTCCAAGTTATCAGAAAATTCGGTGGGCGTCAAGGGATTCGGTGTGAGCGTTTGTGCTGGAAAACAGTGCTGTGAATATAAATGTTGTGGTGGGCGCACAATTGTAGAAATCGATCACCATTGTATGTTCGGTGTGCATCGGTTCCGAAGCGGCCTCCCAGGTGTTACTCAGAGTTTGAAGGACGACCCAATTGGGCATTTAAGTTACGAAAATCCTCGAGACATTAGCCTCATTTCCATTATGTCCAAACTCACGGGTATCATTCTTCGATGACTTACTGGTCCTTGTGCGAGCCGAAACACTGAAAACCCTTGTCGTGGTTTCATCGACCGCATATTTGCTCTTCACTAAGTGTTCGAGTACAGACGATCGACTATGGTGGTTTTCCTTGAGTTGAAAGCCACCGACGCCGTTGCTCGCGCCAGATTGGCGCACTGTCTATCCGTCAGCTAACTCCTTTCCATTCTGAAGTCTCTGCCATGAAGTCCGGGGTCATGTAATGGTCTGTGTGAAGCTGTCTCCTGAGTTCCCTACGACAAGTGGGGTTCGCCAGGGTTGTCCTGTATTTCCTTTCCCCTACCACTATGATCAAAGTGCTCGTGTATGACTCCGTGCTTTCAGACGTTTCCGGAGTGGAGCTTCTGCCAGGTGACCAACTATAACAAACCTTGAGTATGCGGACGAGATATCTCTCCTTGGAACTGACGCAATGGCTATGCAAACGCTACTGGATAGACTGGTGCTTAACGCTGCACACTCCGCAGTATGTTTTACAAGGCGCAAGGTGTTGCATGACTGGACTGATTCGCCAACGGTTCTAGTTCTCAGTGAACAATCACTGGGAGTGGTGGACCGGTTCATTTACCTTGGTAGCTGTGTCACCTCTGTTGGTCACACAACTGAGGTGGTTGCTTCGCGTATCAGCAAGGCCCATGTGGCTTTCCAGGCCTTCAACCTTCTAAAGGTACGATGGGAAATCAGCCTGGCAGCCAAAGGTGGGGCGTATAACGCAGCGGTAAAGCCTGTGTTACTGTCTGGATTAGAGATCTGGCCAGTTCGCGGCGAAAACATTAAACGCTTCGTTGTGTTCGACCATCGGTGCTTGCGGAGTATTTCTGACATCTGGTGAGAACACTGGGTGAGCAATGCTGAGGTCCACTAGTTGGCTTATGGCAAGAATCCTTATGGTGTCTCGAGTATTTGATAAATCTTAATCACTTACGTTTGTTAGATCATGTCCTCCGTATGCCCGTTGACCAACTCCTTTGCTGTGCATTATACGCCGTGGCTGCGCCAATTTTGGCGAAACAACAAGGGATCCTGTCCATGACATGGCATAAGGGCATGAAGAAACGCCGAGTGACTTGGTTAGGCTTGTCCTCGTGGATGGGGCCTCGGGATATGCCGCATCAGTGATTGGTGACCCTAGCGGGCATGTCGAGGTCGCGCAGTCAGGGGTGTTCCTGCATTTACTTTCTTGCATCCAGTTCTTCATTTTCATTCCATTCCGTATTCGTTTAACGCACCTTCCTGATTCCATTTTCTTTACATTCTATTTACATTCATCCTCTTTGCCGTTGTTATTTGTTAGTCTGGCAATGTGAGTCGTGGCAACGGGATCCAGTGCGATTCGGTACCCGGATCATAGTTGTCCCATTGAACTGTACTTAGCTGAATTGGTAAGCGGACAGCGAGAGAAAATAGGTACTTGACGGCATCGAGTGTAAGGTTGCAGAATGTCTCTACAGTAGCTCGAAAACCATGAGACGTCAGCTAACCTAAAATGCATTATTGGATCGGTTAAACAAGAGACTGAAATGATTAATAAATAAACATGAATGAATAACTATACCATCAAAGTGATATTATGACTTCATTGATTTCATTGCGGTGCTGTCATTAGTCGACCGTGATGTGGAACTGAACGTATTTTCTCTGTCTCCAAATGACGTGTTATCAATAATAATAATAATAATAATAATAATAATAAGGTGTGTTTCTCGTGATACCGAAGAAGCGAGCCCACAAAGAGATGGATCATATTTACAATGCAACATGCTCAGGCATGCGAAGCTGTCAATTGTCTGGCTTTTCACAGGGTTACAATAGAGATGTTTTTGCAAATATTTTCATTTGGGACTTTTGTCGCCGTATGCTACCACCTCGCAGGCATTCTCATTTGGTTGTTTTCGATGCAGCTTGGTAGTGCTATAATGGCGGTGGTTTCTAGGGGGGTGCGGAGGGAGTATGAAAAGAATGACACAGTTAGATTCATCAATCAAAATCAGATGAGTAATACACAATCTTACTTAATAGACGGGAGTAATACAGTTGGAGCTATGTGTGAGTAATATGTTAGAGAGTTGCGAAAATAAGGAAAAGACTAGATTAAGGTAACCCCAGTGAATCATCAAACTCGTTGCTTTATCAGAACACTAAAGGCAGTATCCACATCGTACGGAGTTAAGGCATAGGGTAGTGTCTAGACATTCCTTGGTCTAATTATGGAGTTAAACTAATCAAGTTGTGTTTTGGGCTGCCGGATGGTTGAGATGCTGGGTGTGCTCAGTTGCATTCCTTTCAGCCTTCACTTGTAGGTGGATAGTTAGGGGGTACGTGACTATGCATCTTAAAGGTAATGTTGAAAAGGGGGAATTAGACCGATAAGTACACAAAGAAGTAAGCGCCTATTCGCTGCAGTCAGGACTTATTCATTGGCTCGTAGTCTTATAGAAGATGCTAGAGACAGGTGAATAGGAAAGTGTGCAATAATTATCCGATTCTTGGTGTAGAGATATAGAAGAAATGTACCACAACTAAGGGCGAGGCTGTGGTCTAAGTTAGTGGGAAATATCGGTAAGAGAGTAGGACGGTAAAGGTGAAGTAACTAGGAGCCAGGAGCACAACAGATTCAGTGCAGAATGAAGTAGGGTAAGAAACAACAAGTGAAGTAATACCGTCATTCGTGAAACCGTCTCCTAGGGACCTGCTTCCATGCGGGGTAGTTCCTCGAGAGGTTTCGCCCGCACCTCCACCCCCCATCTGGTCATGTGTAGGTGGTTTAAAGGCACGTCGGCAATTGTTTTTTTCTGATGAGCTAGTTACTCAAACCAGAATGCGTCATGACAGGCCCCCCACCTCGGAACGATTAGGATGCTACCATGGGAATAAACAGGCAATGTATTTTCAAGGTATATACTGACAAGAGTGAAAATTATTCCAGTTTTTTCTTATTTGGCACGATTTCTGCTACGATTCTACTCTCAGAATGGGTCCTCTTTGAGGCGCTTGGATGTACACATGCATTGGATTGGTGCATGATTATTGTGACTGTTTTTAAACGATTTTTATTGATAAAACGATTACAACTTTTAACAAAAATATCCTTGAATTGTTATTACGGAGCGTATTCATCATCAACTGTAAGTACTGCTTGCTTGGTAGCCGGTCGATTCCACGGGCTAAAAAATTGCTGTTCCTATAGGCAGTCTACTCTTTGACGGTGCTCACCTAGTCATCCAAGTCGTAAACCTAGTTCGCGAGCCAATTGTTCAGCGACCGATGGACGTTATAGTCCGTAGGCGCGTTTGTGGGAGAAGAGGGCGAATGAGGAGATAATTCCCAGCCCTTATTGGCGGTGAATTCGACGACATTACGCTCAACATTTTGACATGCATGATTGTGGTGGAAGACGTTATAATTCTTTGTACGTGGTCTTTTTGTCTCGATGGCGGCATCTGCGCCTATTATGGTTAGAATGGATAGGATTTTCGTTACGCATTTTCCCTATCTGCAAAATGTTTTATTAAAAATTTGGAAAGGCACACATTTTTAAAGCTAAAATCGCGAGGAAAGCTGCGATAATTATGCCAGTATCACACCATCAACCCTCCTTTCCAAAATTACAGTCGACACCGTCATCTTAGCGATGCGCTCTTCATCCTACTCAATTTGACGATACCCCAATGATTTTCTTCTCCCGTTACCTACTTGCGGCAGGCCCCACCACCACGTGTGCACACTTGTACACAATTGGCCCAAGTAGCACCGACCGCTTCATCGTACAAGCGAGTCACCCAGATCCACATCAGCCATAAACTGGATGAAAGACACGCGTTAGGTGCGGTTCGGTGGAACAGTGCACAGTACTTTTTTCATGGTGGTGGGTTTCCTTGTCCATTTCACTACGGCTAGCATTACACTCACGAACAGTGTGGCCTTCACCCATACTTGGTGCAGTTACATGTGCAATCTTCCGGTACTCACCAGTTATTCTTTCGATCTCGCACGGAGTTCAACTCGCATTTCCGATCCCGCACTTCATTCTCGCAAGTTTGACACAGACCGGTCATGGGCACTGACTCATGTGGTGAACGACACCCTCCACCTCTCCTGTGTAGTCTCAGTTCGCTTCAGCAGGAGGTTTCATCTTACGGCCAGCGTATACGTATCCCTGTTATCTCGTTTCGTGTTTCTCTCTCCACCTCTTTTCACTCGTCCACTTCACTCTCGCCACGTCATCTTTTCCAGCCCGATTGGACTCCTGTTTGTTGCACCCCCGCGGATTACGTCAAGCGCACGCGTCGGAAGGGACCGGAAGTAAGTGCACGCCTCTATCTACCGCATCCCATTTCACACAGTGTGTCACTGGGACAACTGACTGGTTTTTTTCCACTCTGCTCTCGGAAATTCTCCTCCCTCTTATGACCCCTGAAACTCAATAGTTTGGAGTTCATTGTCAAATGAAAGTGTGGCTAGACCCTCTGACGCGTTTGGGCGACCGCATATTCTTAGAACTCACTTTCCAGTCGTTTTTTCTATCTTGTTGCTCTAGTACTATTTGTACCTCCATCCGCAAACTACGCACTACATTAGCTCTGTGTAATTCCTCCAAACATTCCATATCCAATTCGATCTGGGTATGCAGGTTCACTTCTTACAAAGGACTGTGTAATTAAGCGGATAGCGAAAATGTGCGCACTCTAGCATGCCCCTCAATTTTCCGCCTTATCGTGTGTGTGCATTGAATGACACCTGCGTTCCAATTCACTCGTTTCACTTTCATCTCTTTCCTCGGCAGCCCGTGTTTACAGCCTCCCCATCACCTTCTACACTCAGCCGTCATGCACAGTGTGCGAGAGAAATCGTTGTAGGCTATTGTGTGGTTGCGGTTGGGCTCATTTCCGCTGTTTGAGCTCTGAACTAATGAAGTTGTCTTTATTGGTGTGCGTGCGTGCATGTGTCCGAAGTATACAGTGCGAATGCTTGTTATCACTAAATGGGCTGATTTGCATGTATCTGTTTGATAGGTTGTCCAGACATCTGGAGTATAGTTTTAATTAGAGCAATAACGAAGTTGTTTAAAAAGGATGAGTGATGTGGAACCTGGGAGATTCTCAATTTGTTCAACCTGTTTGGCTTGTTGAACTTATCGCTGGGGCGACTATCCCCCAGGGTGCTGCGAATTGGTTTCCACTATAGTCAAGAGTGTTACGCTTTTGAATTTGCGATTTCCGGACACTACTGAGGTTTCGCTCTGTGCCCAAGCAAATAGCGTCCTCGGAAATACACTCTTACTCCGAGTTTTCTTGGGGGAGTTCTAGCGGTCATGGATGTTTTTGCTCCTCGTCACACTTCCGTCTCGTCTCCGACAAAACGAAAGTGATCACTGAATTCAGATGTTTCCGTTATAACCGTCGCCGCTTTGGTTTTACCGTCCTCACTTGGTACTGTTCCCTAGTTGAAACGTAAGTTTCGGGTCTTGCGAACTCGGATGACACGTCCTGTTCGACTTCGTCGCCCAGTAATTTCTACCTCACTTTATCGAGCCGAACGCGGATCTTGTACCACTATCCGCGACTCTTAGAGAAAACAGAGAACATTAGTGATAGCGTTTATGTGACTTAGCCAAAGGCGACACATGGTGCGTGCATCTTAGTATTTGTGGAACGGTGGCGTAACTGCCACCTGCTAACTGGAAGCGACGATGATTGTCAGGATGATGTATGTGCCCCACTCGATAGCGGTACGACTCAGGGGATCACAGTCGGTCACCTGGTGTCTCTGGAGCATAAAGGAAATAAATGCCATCTGATAACGTTGACATCGGTAACGCATTGCGTAAACATTCTACGGGAACAATATAGCATACTTGGAGTTTGGGAACCCCTTCGTCCGATGAGAATCACCCCCTCTCAGATGACACACACACACACAGTTCGGTAAGCTTTTCCTGCCTCACTCGATGCTATTTTTTCCATAAGCTGCCTTTCCTCTAAACTCCATATATCGCATCCTTGAAGTAAACACTCGGAGTTAGCTAACGATGACCCAACCTAGGTTACAGTCATTGGCTTCTTCGTATCCATCTTTTCACGCAGTTATAGTGGAAAATTTTCATTTGTGGAGATTCGTCGCAGTTAGACTCAGGCGGACAGCCGCCACACATCCAGGAAAGCGCTAGGCGGCCGCTTCTTCGTATTGGGACTCGTCAGTAGCGCGCACCCGCCGAATCTTGCCGGGTTCGAACTTACGACCTTACTCTTGCGAGCCGACGACTTATGCCACTGAGCCATGGGCGATGGCAGCAGACCGCTATGACTGATATCTAACTGCGATGTAACGCGGCTGCGACGAATTTTTACAAAAACCCAATAAATCGCCCTACTGCTTACAAATTTTCATTTGTATTGTTGTAGCGCAAAGTCAAAGGCTGGTCCTACCTCGATCCTGCTGCACTGGAACCGGCGCTGCATCGACAAACGCAGGCAAGTCCTCCAGTATATTTTAACTTGCCTCAGCTACGCATAACGCTATTGAGCTACCCCGACTGCATTTCATGTATGCTATCAGTTAATTAATGCGAGACTTTTTGGTGCGCCATTATGAAATTAACCGCTTGTGTAGACTCCGGAAATCAGTTGATGCGCGTCTCATCGAAAGCCTACTTTATTACTCTGCTTCGCTCCACAACTAATACTCGAAACCATTGAGAGCTGGAGGCAAACTATGGCTTCCTTCCGCTCCGTATTCGCAGTACTGTGACACCAACCATTTTTATTCAAAAGATCTTGTTCCCTCCAGGGTCGTTATGGTCGTGCTTTCAAATCTTGTCCTTGTCTTTCTGTCACCAATAACACGGCAATGTCCCAACATTATACCTCTTTGGAACTCAACAAAACAACATGCACACACTCTGTTTCGAAACGTTTCTTTGCTAAGCTATGTGGATAATTAATACGTGTCTGTTCCTCAGCTACACCCGCAAGTAGGCTAAAAACGAAATGCTTCATTTTCACCAAATTTCTCTGATCGCTTCCCTTGTCCGACTGGTCGGTAGTAGTGTTTTCGGTGACAGAAGCGAGCTGAGATTGTAGCCTGTTAGGCACAGAGGTGCCCATTTTCCACATGACTCCCGCAAGGCCATTACGCAAAACGAATTCGACATTTTCACCCTGCCCAAACAACATTCGGGCGCCGATGTATGCCCCTTCAGTCACTGCGTCGGGTGTTGCATCACAGAAGTCGATTTGCGCGTCTAGCCATCTCCAATTAATCTCCATTTAATCTCTTTTTCTCGTAATTATCTGCGCTGTTTATGTGGTCTATTTCCACGATTATACCCTATCCAAAGTTTCGGCTTGTTGTCTAGTTTCCTTCGTATGTCCCTTTCTTCCTCTTTTGGCTTGTACAAAGTAGACGTAACCACTCATCGCTCCTTGTATCCTTATTCACATGCACACACACACACACACACACCTGCTGTGTCCGACTTTTACATCACTTTTTAAGTCAATGCCATTGGTCAGCTGTACGTCAGCGGTACGTTCGACCCTACTGTACGGTTGTGAAACCTGGCCACTTAGATTAACGGACATAAAGAGGCTAGTTCCGTTCTAGCACCGATGCCTTCGCAATTTAGCTCACATCTCGTGGGAACACCGCGTGAGCAACGAGCATGTTCGCCGCCTTGTTTACGGCACAGGAAAAGGAAATGAACCGCTCGGCACCGTTATTTCACGCACCAGGCTCCGATGGCTCGGCCACGTGTTACGCATGCTAGCCCAATGACTCCCGCGACGTGCGTTTGCGCGTCGGGAGTGTAGATGTAGGAAGAGGAGAGGTGGCCAAGCGATGACTTGGTCCAGAGGAATGAAGGCCCTCACTTCTGAGCTGGCCTCGGTTGGAGCGTCTCGGCACCCTGGTTGGGGTCCGAAAGACGATGAACACGTTTGGCTGGATACACTTGCTGATATGGCAAGGAGCCGACCTCAGTGGAGTTCGTGCTGTGAGTTTCTTTGTCCCACCCCATCCCTCTTAGTCTTCTTCTCCAACTACGATCTCATTATTTAACATTTTATAATTTTGCATATGAAATTACTTTTTTCTGCTGCATAGTAGCCGGCTGGTAGCTTACCGGAACGATGCCCATCCGTTACCGGCAACTCAGCTTGTTTGCACCTGTTGCATTTTATTCCCGTTTTTCTTTTAAATATTGCGACACAGTAGTTTAGATTTTTCCCACCTCTAACTAACGTGTATATTGTGTGTGTGCCCTGTCCAGCAACCGCAACCAACGCACTACGCGGGTAACGCCGGACAGGCGTGCGCAATACGTGTCCCAGCTGCCGCAGTTGATGCAGTGAGACGAGCTTTTCCAACGAGTGGCTTCCTCGTTCCAAAACACGCTGTCTAACTTCCACATTGCTTTGTGGTGCCGCCACCACACATGGGCAATGGACTGCAGACATCGGTTTTTGAAGGTGGATAGCCTCCGCGAATCATTTTTACGAATTGGCCAGGTCTCGCATCCGTACCACAGCACAAGAACAGTTGCACAATGGACCGGCCCTTTGCTGGAGAGACGAATGCCGCGGTGACGCCACAACTGCCTCAGCCTAGAAAAAGCGGGGCGTGCTCTTTAGATGCGCATCGAAATCTCGTCTGCAACAGCCCCGCCAGTGGTGATGCAACTTCATAGGTAGACAAAGCTCTTCACAACCTCCAGTGTCTCACTACCATAAGTGGCTGCAGGCACAGGCACCTGCCACTCTTGAAATAGAGCTTTGCATTTGGATGGCGAAAAGTACATACCATACTTTGATGGTTCAATCGCCAAGCGGTTTAGTGCAAGTTGGACGACGTGTGGATCGTCACCCAGCAAGACGATATCGTCAGCATAATCCAAATCAACAACTCGACTACCTGGGAGGAGCCCAACGCCAGCGTTCAAAGAATCGCCCAGAGCGTTCTTTAGGACATCCTTAATGGTAAAATTGCATAGGAATGGACAGATAGGGCATCCTTGTCGAACTCCGCTGGAGACCACAAAGGTAGGCGAAAGCTTGCCCTAAGCCCTAACTGCCCGAGGTCAGACCATAGAGAGCGCGCAGTATGGCGACGAACTTCTGGGTGGATGCCATTCCTCAGCAGACAGTGCCACAGTACAGTCCGATTGACAGAATCGAAGGCTGCACCGATATCCAAGAATACAGCAATCGTTGGCCTCTGGTATACATGGCGGAGCTCGAGGATCTGGCGGAGTGAAGATTTGATCGATGCAGCCGCGACCAGGGCGAAACCCAGCTTGTTCTTCTCGTTGCAACGATTCGCGTGTTGGGGATAGTCTGCGAAGTATGATGGACACCAGAAGGTTGCAAACGACGGGACTAAGCTTATGCCTCAGTAGTTGGAACAGACTGTGCGCACGCCCTTTTTGAAGATGGGGACGACTATCGATTCACCCTAAGATGATGGAACTTCATCTTTCGACCAAATTTTCGAGAACGAAGCAGTGAGTTCTCGAATCAACGAGGCGCCACCATTTTTAAATAGAGCTGGGTGAAGACCATCAGGGCCGGGAGCTTTATAACGCTTAATGTGCCGGAGCTCCTGTTCGATATCCTGGTAAGAGGGAGGATCTATGGGGGTAGACCACTCGGCACCAGCGAGAGCACTATAGGTAGCCGGTGGAGCTGGGGACCAACAAACCTACGAGCCAAAATGTTCGGCCCATCGCTCCAATTGTCGTTTAGTGCGATGACGAACTTGTGGCGCCCCACGGCGAATGACTGCATATGCAATCGTGTTGTGCGAAACGTGTCATATACCTTCGCAACACCCAGGAAAGCCACCACACGCCCTCTTGTTTCCGAATGAGCTGCTTGGAGTATGTTATCTAACTCATTTGAGGTTTCTAGACATCAATCCGTCTTCGGGAAGCCTATTTGAAGTGGTGAGGGAGGCGATGCCTTGCTAACGTCTAGCGGTTACTTTGTGCAGTACTCGTAAACGGAGCAAGTTATCAGTCTATATTCTCCTTGCTATGTGTAATTTGCAGTCTTATACATCAAGACGATACACGCGAACGAGACACACTGCGTGGGCATTTCGAGCAGAGCCACATGACTCTACGTAGATAAAGCGGTAACCGTCATTTCATTGGGTCCCTGCGCCGTTTTCGGTTTCAGACTTGCCTCTACTTCAGATGACTCGATAAGTCTTAACAAGTCGAACCTATGCTCGGATGGCACTGGCCTGCCGTCCACTGCACTTGATAGTCCGGCGCGCCACTACTGTCAAACGTGTAGGCTTCTCTCCACGTACCATCAAAGACGCATCTCACAGCAACCTTCTGCGTGATAAGGACTTTGTACCGCTGCGTAAGTTCACTTACAAATCTCTTCTGCTGATTAGTATGGGTTTGACATGATGCGGCTTCATAGGTTTCCACTCAAAAGGAAAGCAGACTAGCCTTTTCTAGGCTCATAATGCCCTACTCCAAGCCTGCGGTAATGTTAAGTAAGACCAAGGGACGTAGGTTGGTGCCCAAATGGTGCTTTAGATGGCCGATAACTTACAGCAATGGCTATAACCCCATATATTTTCTTCAGGTACATTCTGGAGATCTCTTGCTACATCATCCGAGTGAGACGTTGACGAAGGAGAGTCCGAGGAAGCTACCAAACCTCTTATGCCTGGCCTAAGCGCACGCGATCGAACCAGGGAAATTTCGGTGCTCTCGAGCTGAGCTGAGCAAACTATGTCAAAGTGCTTCTTTACATGCGCTTCCGGAGACCTTTTTTGGCCCAAGAGGGGATGAAAGTAATGCATGAGAGCCAGCGGCAGTGGGAACATCACTGTCGGTGATTACTGTCTGTGCAAGAGGCCAATCAAGTTCCTGCATTTTTTATCGCACTAATGCTGAAACCCGAAAGGAGTACTTAACACTTTAGGTAGACTCTTGGATCTCTACCTGAACTGGTTAAACAATGTGTCAACCTTATCTAGTGCAATTCAGTTCTCAGTCAACAGATCTTTCCTTCTGAAATCACGACACATCGCTCCGCATTAAGCTTAATAAGATGCCTATGTGACTTACGTTGGCCAACTTCTTTACAAGTAAGAAATCGCACTCCACAAAAGCAAATATGTGGAAAACTTACTATTGTACAGTCCATCAACCCTGCTCTTGACGCGCCAGCATCAGGAGTGCTGAAGTTACTGTATTTGTATTGTAGTCACATTCTGAACTCAAGTAGGTGGGTCGGCCTTACGTTCGCTATCCTGGCTCTTAGTTCAGAGAAGAACTTACCCAACCCAAGAATGGTGGCCAAGAGAAGATCAGAACCATCTCTTGCTCCTC